TGACAACAGGAGCAAACGTTTCTTCATAATCTTGACCCGCAATCTGACGATTTCCAAGAACCACAAGCCGAGCCTTGTAACACTCAATTGTTCCATCTTCGTGGTACTTTATTTTGAATACCCACATATTTCCAAGTGCAACTTTTCCAGGTGGTAGATCAACGACACTCCACGTTTTATTGAGCTCGAGAGCATTGTACTCCTTATCAACCGCGTTCGTCCATCTCTTATCTCGAATTGCCTCTTGATAGCTTCTCGGCTCAATTCCTGCAGTGAAAGCAGCTAGAAAAGCCTGGTGGCGAGCTGAGAATTTATCATCAGATATGAAATTGGTGAGAGGGTATGGTGTATTACCTTGGACCGTTGTAGAGAACGCACTGAGGGGATCAGAGAGAACGTGATGGGTATCATCTCGAACAACAGCGTTGTACTGTACAAAATTCTTTAAACGCACCGACTGAAATTTTTGACGATGACCTCGTCCCAAAACTTCTTCTTCTTCGGGCTGGATAGCTGAATTTTCATGCCCAATTTCAACTACAGGCCCAACTTCAACTACAGGCCCAACTTCAACTACAGGCCCAACATCAGCTGTAGACCCAACATCAGCTGTAAGCCCAACTTCACTTTCAGGCCCAACGTCACTTGCAGGCTTAACTTTATCTGCGGGCCTTACTACAGGTCCAACTTCGATAATTGATGCATCAATTGCAGCTGGAGAATCATCGACAACTGCTTCATCTCTATTAATTTCTTCTTCGCCATTAACATCTTCTAATAACGGAGCTATATCCGTATTACTCCCCCTGTTTCCAAGTATAGGAAATTGATCTTGTAGCCAGTCTTCATCTATAATTTTAGAATCTATATGATTCGAAGCATTTTTCTGGGTTGCAAAGGGGAAATCTTCTTCTTTGAAATCACATCTCGAGAAACAAGGAACTCCTCTGTTTCCAAATCATAAACTCTCCACCCCTTTTTGCCAAATGGGTATCCCACAAATACACATCGCCGACTTCTAGAACCGAATTTGTCCTTGTCGCGAGACTGTTTGTGTGTAAAACACAAAGAACCAAATACACGTAAATTTTCATAAGATGGTTTTTGTCTCATTAACACGTCATGAGGACATTTTCCTTTGAGTATCTTTGTTGGTGTTAAGTTGACTAGGTGAGCTGCGGTCAAAATAGCTTCTCCCCAGAATTTGACAGGCATATTGGCTTGAAACAGCAAGGATCGCGCCACATTAAGAAGATGACGATGCTTCCTTTCTACTCTGCCGTTTTGCTGTGGCGTACTCACACAGGTGGTTTGATGCACGATTCCTTTATTTTTGAAAAAGGATGACAAACACATAAACTCCATCCCATTATCACTCCGAACCATCTTTACTGGTTTGTTGAATTGCTTCTCCGAATAAGCACAGAAATTTTGCAGAACAGTCCGAACTTCAGACTTTTCAAGCAATAAGTATGTCCACACAGCCCGTGAAAAATCATCTACAATAGTCAAAAAATACGAAGCTCCACATGAAGCACGAACTCGATAAGGCCCCCAAACATCGACATGTATTAAATCAAAACATTCTGCTGTTTTATTAATACTTTCATAAAAAACATCTCTTGTTTGCTTAGCCCGGAAGTGTCACAATGACTCGGACTAGCAGAAAACGAATCTTGAGAAAAACCAGAAACACCAACACCAGAAATCTTAGATAAAACCGAAAACGCCGGATGTCCCAACCGTCGATGCCACAACACTTGATCAAATTTTGCCTCAGCTTTGTTTACTCGAGCAGCTTTTACATCCTTAAATTAGTATACCTCATCACGTTCTTCACCGGCTCCAATCAGAGTCCTCGAAAAACGGTCCTGCAAAACACATATAGTATCAGTGAAGAAAGCAAAACAATTTGATTTCTTCAACAGCTTTGAAATTGAAATCAATGAGCAACTCAGATCGGGAACATATAAGACGTCATGTAATGAAATACGATCTGTTAACGGCAAAATCCCCATTTTTGTCGACACGGTTGTACTCCCATCTGCAAATCCAATAGTACAAGGTGTCGTATCTTGTATGTCAATAAGAAGTGTAATATTCCCTGTCATGTGATGTGAGGCTCCGGAGTCTAGAATCACATCTCCATGTTTCTTACCAGCCAATTTTTCTGAGGAACCACCAGGTCTCTCACTGTTGATGATTTGTGAGATCGCCCTCCATTGCTCTGCTGTGAGTTCAGGAACAGCCGGAGCATTTGGACTTGTTGCATGTGCAACATTCACCTGTCCTCGTCCACCTCCTCTTCCATAGACACCATTTGAACCACCACGGCCTCCTCCACGGCCTGCACCACGACCTCCTCCTCGACCGCCGCGTTCCACGAACCACTCTGGATATCCCACCAACTGCCAGCATGAGTTTTTCTCATGTCCTATCCGTCCGCAGTGAGAGCATTGTCGATCTTTTCCTTTGTTGGCACTACCACCTTGCGATGCTTCAGCAAGGGTCACAAAACCACTCGCATCACGACGAGATGTCATGTTTGCTGATTCATCATGAGTATCACGCCGAGCTAAGAATCCCACTGCTTCCTGATGTTGCTCTCTGTGTTTGGCAGAGTTGAGTCTATCCTTTTCGCGGATCACTTTGGAATACACTTTTCCGAGATCGTGCAATACATCTGCTTCAATTATTGCTGTGACAACGTGTCCAAATCGTGTTTCATCGAGTCCCATCACAAACTGATGCACCCTTTCATCCTCTCTTTCTTTCTCATAGATCGCCGCGGCATCACAGGTACACACCAGAGCTGGACGATATGTCTGGAGCTCTTCCCACATCTTAGCGAGCCGACCATAATAATCGATCACTACTTGTCCATCTTGGCGACACGACGCCAGTTTACACATCAACTGATGCACACAAACTTTGTTCCCCACCGAGAACTGCTCTTTAAGATTTTCCCACAATTTGTGGGCATCGGTAATGAAAGTCACCGTCGATCTTACGCGAGGTTCTATCGAGGTGCGTAACCAGCCAACAATCAAAGAATTCACACTTAACCAGGACTCCAAATCGGCATGTCCTTCAGGTGGCTTCTTCACCGTACCATCAATGAAACCGTTTTTCCTCTTGGCTTGAAGTGCGTTCAACATCTCTGTTGCCCATTCATTGTAGTTGTCTCCTTTCAGCTACACCGCTGTGATCATAGATCCAGGATTGTCAGATGAAAAGATGGAATATGGTGAGACAATCACGTTATCTCCTCCCTTCTCAACAGCCTTCTCATCATTCGTACCAGATTTATCAGCACCTCCCATCGTATAAGATCACGTCTCCGTTAATGAAAGAAAAGAACAACGAACGTATCTAGAGAATTAGATTTTCGACAGGAATTAAAAACACAGATCTAGTTTTAAGGATCTGTTGCTCTGATACCATATAGAATTTAGAAGAATGTGTGTCTTTATTGATCAACTTACAAACGTATATATACACAACTTTAGTCGGTTTAACAACGACTTAACCTTATCTAAAACCAATAGGATTTATCTACTAAAATACATATATACTTAGATATATCCAACATTAGCATTATCTCTAAGTTGTATATATCTTGATACTATAATATCTCCTAATAAGTCTAAAATAGAAATGGAGACAAACCATATTCCTCTAGTGGGTCCATAAAGTCACTCCAAAAAGATTTTGTCAAAGCTTATTGAAACTTCTTTGGTCAAAATAAAATAAAGTTAGATCCAGTATTGCCTTAATTTTGTTGTCGCTGGAATGTAGATTACCTTTCTTTGGTAAGAAACCTTTGGATGGAGACAAAAAGAAGCTTCAAAGGAAACTCATTGAAGGTTGTGATATGGATTTTGTTTGCTTTCTTTAAAGTCTCAAATGAATACATTATGAAGATCAAATAAACTTGTTTCAAAGAAGTGGTTTAATTGGTGCAATTTCTTCAATTTAGCTTTATAATTTTGATTGATAATATGTAGTAGTGGTATCAAGACTTTTCCATACTTATTGAAGGAACCATCAGAAACTCAAAAAGTATTGTTGAACGTGCATGTGTTTTGTTGTTTTGTTGATACCTCCAAAGTGAGAATGATCCGTGACCATAAAGGCAGAAATGACTAAAGTGGTCTTTTATTAATTTTTTAAACAATCTTATTCTCTAATCGGAAAGGAATTTGCTAACGTTATGACTAAAATCTAATAAAAACATTTTTTTTTTCTTTTATAACGGAAATACATTTGAGAAGCATCACATGATTATTTAAAATTGATTCTATAAAACAAGTAGCCGATTACTTTGGTCTTTTTTTAAGTGCGTGTAGAGCTTTTATCACAAGATCTTTCCAATTCTTTTTAGCGTTTTGATCTATGCGATTCGGTTTTCTTTCGTCGGATGACCTTCATTTTGCTCTCTAATGTGTCGCTTGTGCTTTTCGGTCGAGGGGGATCATTGGCATGGTCGCAATGATGATTATTAGCCGTTGTTATCTTCTTTTGATTTGTAAAACTTTTGTGTGATTTGAAGACAGTTCAAATAGATGATTTTGATTTGTTTTTATTTTGAAAGCGCGAACAACGCCAGAGTAGTGGGAGTAGCTGAACTGTCTTTTTAACTCTTTAATGAATGTTTGAAATTCTTCTCATAATTGCATTACCCTAAATTGCTTTGTGTGTGTGTGTAGAATCTCAAAAACACTACACACTTGATAATATCCGGAAAAGATGAAGCAGCTGGATCTGTTGCTGCTGGATTCACAAATTTAGTTTCTAAAATTAAAAATTATTCTCTGATGGGACATGAACAACAAAATACTTTAGTAAAACTTTCAATTATGTGTCATACACAGTCATTAATCTATTTGAGCTTTATAAGAAGTGAATTTTTTTTAGCGAATATATGAAATAATTGGTACTCTTTTCTGCAATTCTTCTTATATAAATTTGGCTAATGATGTTAGTAATCTAAATTTAAGCTTAAAGTAGCTTTAGATGAACTGTTTTCTTTCTTTTGTTGTTATATATCTGGAGACAAAAAATAAAATTAAAAGATGATGATAAGTCAAGAGATCCTAACTATATAACTTGACGAATGACAAATCCAAACTTAAGAGAATAACACACACATAAATTTCTTTAGTGATAATGTTCATATGAAGCCATGTGAGCAAATGCATCTTGAAGAAAACCGTTTCTCTCTTCTGCATCTCTCTCTGTAGCTTAGGACAAGAAGACCCAACACAAGCATCCTTCTCCTCTGATTTAGATATTCAGCCTAAAGAGATTTAATGAACCAGAGGTGAATCAAATACACCAATCTTAGTTTTTCTAAACGAGAAGGTCAAGTAATGTTTTTACCTCTTCATAGGTCAATTGGGACTCTCAAGCCATCATGCGCAAGTTTTACTGGAATCCCTTCCCTAACAAACCAAACATTGCAAATAATAAGATACTCCTCTCTTCGTGTATGATTTCTTCAGATAGATGATGTAATTGAAGGGTTTCTATAGTTTTCTACCTTTTAGACCATTCTTCAAGAAACTCGTTGTCCTTGTGGTGATCAAACTCGTGAGTCATTCCAATTAAAAGAGCCCTTTTCGGACTCAGTCTTTTGATTGTATCGAGTGTCTACAAAGAAAACAAAAAGTAAGCATACATAAACCATAAAAAGAAAATCCACACCTTAAAACTAAGCTAACCTGTGGGAAACATAAGTGGGTGTTGTGGGATCCTGTCTGCATCACAATAAAAGAAAGAAAGGAGAAAAAATGTGAAAACATCAGCTTATTACAGTAAACTTAAAAAAGTCGAAAACGTTGTCTGTGTTACCTTATACAATGTATCCAAGATAAGGAGATCCAATTGCCCACCACCAGATTTAGATATAACTGTGTATCCAAAGGCAAACGAAGCGTGAGTTAGACTTCTTCTTCGAGTATATCAAAATACAGACGCACTAATCAATTTGTTGCACTTACCATACTCGGTGTTTGGTGGAAAGCGTGATACATCGGATATATACGCCACTCTTGATTTTTCACCAAAAAGGAAACCAAGACAGACATAGTCTTCTCCATGCATCACCTGATACAAGCAATAAGATTTGAGTCTCCACATAGATCAGCAAAGAGACATGATTCACTATTTCGACAGAGACTTTGAGAAACTTACTGGAAGTGGCGTGAATGATAAGTCTGAAGCTACAAATGGCTTCTCACAATCTTCTTCAATTACTCTCCAATCAAGCTGAGCTACTCGCCTAACTTCTTGGCCTTCTTTAAGTTTCTTCTGAACCAAATACGGGAACTTCACAGCAAGGCTGTTTTCAGAAAAGCATGTGACAGTAAAAACTACAGCTCCACAGTGTAAGAGGTCAAATTGAAATTTCCAAAGACCATGAAGATGCTAATACCTGTCCATAGCATACTGGCTTACGAAAATTGGAGTAGGGTCTATATCATTGGTAGGACTAAATGGTTGCACGGAACGTATATCATCCAAGCCAAGGACTGCATCAGCATGCTCATGAGTCAAAATTATCTGCAGGCCATGCACATATTAGTCCTCATGCATTGAGAGCTTAGGTTCCAAAAAGGAAAAATCAAGAATTGCGACCCAAGATTTAAACTTTGGTCGAGGCTTTCTTCATACATTATCTCAGGCATGTTAACATTATTTAGAAACGGATATCTCAATCGGGCATAATGTATAGAATCAAAACGATTTCTGCATGACTCACAGAATCAACTCGAGGAATCTTGTGAAGAGTAAACCAACGCAGGACTTGTTCCCTGAACGTCTTCCCAACATCGATTTGAATGTATTTATGTTTGCCATCACTCTTGCAATAATCAATGAGCAGTGATGTGTTTCCCCTGCCACAAGAACAAAACTCTTCAATGAAAAAGACAAGCTAGATTCTACAAGATAACTCAGCTACAAGATGGATCGAGTCGAGGACGACACACAAAAAGGATCTTAAAGGCTTTATATGATTCAACTCGATCATAGATCAAAGTCGAACCCAAAACTAGAGTAATTGAATGTGCTACACATATTAAAGGAACAGAGCAAACGGATCCCAAATCCCTTTTAAAAAAAAGCGAACTGCTACAATTCGAGCTCCGATCAAACAAGAGTGATGAGAAGAAAAACCCAAATCTCACTCAAACTAACAAAAATCGAAATTAGCTCAATGTCATATGAGAAAACATCAAATTTTTCACATGCATCATAGATTCAAGGAACCAAAACCCTAAATAACCAACTCTACACTCGAATAATCCCTGAAAATTTTCGGACATCGCAATGCAATCACAGGAGAACCCAAATTGAAAAAAGGCGGAAAACACGAGAACGCACCTGTAATTAGGATTTTGCTCCGGAGGGATCGAAAGAGACTGCGAGCAAACATAGCATGGGCTATCGGCTTGCTGGATCAAGCACATTGCGTTAGGAACCGCGCTCGAACATCCCGTTCCGAGGAATATCAGAGCCGATCCGTCGCGATCAGATGAAACGGAGCCGTTCTCATGCGGAATCGAACCGTCCATCATCGACGGTATAAGTATGAGTCCGTACGAATCAGGAATATTCCGGCGAAGGGAGGAATCTCGAGTCGACAGTAAACAAGGTAACGGAAGGGTGTCGACGATGCCAAGGACGGAGAGAAAAACAAAATTAGTTTTGTTTTTATATATAAATAAACTAATTTAATAATACAACGGTTTCTCTACAGAGTATATGCCACGTGGCCTCATCTTAACGGCTCCGATTAGAACTCCTTGACCGTGAGGGAATTGAGATTGTCGTCAACAAGGAATGTTATTTCTGTTTCTATTCAATTTTAAACAAAACTTTGGAATTTTTTATTTTTCCATAAAATTTGTTACAAGATTTGTAAACACACTCGGATTATATAATCGTGCAGTAAACAAAATCACAAATATCAATAACTATATGACCGACTAATTTTGGTCTACCAAAATCGCTTAAGTGAATTAATTTTTAATAATTTTTGTGAATTTGGGTAAAATCAAGTCCTAATGGATTCGGGCTTTTCAAGCAGTCTTTTTTTTTTCTTCTTCCTTTAAAGCCCACGTTTTTAACTTATTTTTGATTTTGACTTCTAGTTAATTTCTATAGTTTCTTCACCCCCTTGAAATGTTTCAATTTTCAACTTTCAAAAACCGCATTTTTCCGTTGGTTTTGCTCTGTGAACACTACAATTGAGTGAGCTTTTGTGTTATCTGAGGTTTAGAAGCTTGAAGGAGCTTCTCGCTAGTGTTGTTTAATTGATGTTGAATTTAAGAGTTAATCGGCTTCTTCGTAGACCCTTCATCAGATTTTCAGCTTGTCCAATCTCTAACGGCGAATCCGATGCGTCTTTCTCGACATCTTCGTCGGGAAATACTGGCTTCAATCATGGCCCAGAAAGAGAAGGAGTTTCTAGTCAAGAAGATGATCACTTGCGAAAATTCAGGCAATTGGGTCTCGGAAAGTCACCGGCTTTGAATACTACGAGCGTCGGCGAAGCTGAATTTGGAGAAATTCGAAACCCTAGGTTCAACAGGTTTGACGAGATAGATGAATTGGGAGAAGAAGAAGAAGAAGACGAAGATGACGACGGAAATGGAATAAGCGGCGACGAACGGGATGATGATTTCGCTGTTCTGGAATCGTTTGGGAAGATCCCACAATCGAGAGAAGAAGCTAGTAGATTTGATGTCGAAGAAGATGAGTCTAGGCATCCTTTGGTGAGAGAGACAAATAGATTGATTGGCCTCAGGTCATCTTGGAACCCAAAGCATGAAGGCCAGATGAGGAATCTTCTAAGGAGTCTTAAACCCTCTCAAGTCTGCGCTGTTTTACGCTCACAAGATGATGAACGTGTTGCTCTTAAGTTCTTCTACTGGGCGGATCGTCAATGGCGGTATCGCCATGACCCTATTGTGTATTACTCGATGCTTGAGGTTCTTAGTAAGACTAAAATCTGTCAAGGTGCCAGAAGAGTTCTCCTTCTGATGAAACGTAGAGGTATACATCGAACTCCTAGAGCGTTTTCGCTTGTGATGGTGTCATATAGCAGGGCAGGTCAGCTAAGAGATGCGTTGAAGGTGTTGACTCTTATGCAGAGAGCTGGAGTTGAACCTGACTTGTTGATCTGCAATACAGCCATTGACGTTTTCGTAAGAGCGAATAGGTTGGAGAAAGCTTTACGATTTATAGAACGTATGCAGGTTGTTGGTATAGCTCCAGATGTAGTGACATATAATTGTATGATCAGAGGGTACTGTGACTTGCATCGAGTTGAGGAAGCAATTGAACTACTAGAGGCAATGCCTAGTAAAGGATGTTTGCCTGATAAAGTTAGTTACTATACCATAATGGGCTTTCTTTGTAAAGAAAAGCGGATTGTGGAAGTGAGACACTTGATGGAGAAAATGGCGAAAGAGCATGGTTTGGTGCCGGATCAAGTCACTTACAATACTCTAATTCATATGCTCACAAAGCATAATCACGCTGATGAGGCTCTTTGGTTTCTAAACGATGCTGAAGAAAAAGGCTTTCGGATTGATAAGGTTGGTTATAGTGCTATAGTTCATGCATTGTGCAAAGAGGGAAGAATGTCTGAGGCAAAAGATCTCATTAATGAGATGCTGTCAAAGGGGCATTGCCCTCCTGATGTTGTAACTTATACCGCAGTTGTCAATGGCTTCTGTCGTTTGGGTGGGGTGGACAAAGCCAAAAAGCTGCTACAAGTTATGCATACTCACGGGTATAAACCAAATACTGTGTCATACACAGCTCTGTTAAATGGGTTGTGCAGGACGGGGAAATCGTTAGAGGCAAGAGAAATGATGAACATGAGCGAAGAGCAATGGTGGAGTCCAAATTCTATTACTTATAGCGTACTTATGCATGGGCTGCGTAGGGAAGGGAAATTGTCTGAGGCTTGTGATGTGGTAAGAGAGATGATACTAAAAGGGTTTTTCCCAGGACCAGTTGAAATTAACTTATTGCTCCAGAGTCTTTCCCGGGATGGGAAAACACACGAGGCAAGAAAATTCATGGAGGAGTGTCTGAACAAGGGTTGTGCTATTAATGTCGTGAATTTCACTACAGTGATTCATGGTTTTTGTCAGAACGATGAGCTAGATGCTGCTCTCTCCGTGCTTGATGACATGTACCTGATCAACAAACATGCAGATGTCTTCACATATACTACTTTAGTTGATGCATTGGGGAAAAAAGGTAGAATAGCAGAAGCAACAGAACTTATGAAAAAGATGCTTCATAAAGGTATAGATCCCACCCCTGTAACATACAGAACTGTCATCCATCGATACTGCCAAATGGGAAAGGTTGACGATCTCGTGGCTATACTGGAGAAGATGATATTGCGGCAGAAATGCAGGACAGTTTATAACCAAGTCATTGAGAAGCTGTGTGGTTTGGGGAAGCTCGAGGAGGCAGACAAACTCTTGGGAAAAGTTTTGAGGACAGCTTCGAGATCTGATGCTAAGACATGTTATATACTTATGGACGGCTATCTTAAGAAAGCTGTACCTCTGTCAGCATATAAAGTGGCTTGTCGGATGTTTAGCCGCAATTTGATACCTGATGTTAAGATGTGTGAGAAGCTAAGCAAGAGACTGGTTCTAGAAGGAAAAGTTGAGGAGGCAGATCAGCTAATGTTACGTTTGGTTGAGCGTGGTCATATTTCACCCCAGTCCTCAAAACAGTCCATGGTCTCATAATAACTCTCTGGATATACTTTTATTTTTGTAACATAAAAGCATCATAGTGGCAAAGCATGTCAAGGACCCAGCACAATGAAATTAACTACTGTTCTAGTGGTCTTTATAAAGCTCTGAATTTTGGCTACTTTGTGACCTGCATATGCTGCTAATTTTCAATGACTGTCACTGCATGTTTCCCCATATTTGGATGCTCACTTTCTCTAAAGGTATATGCAAGTTAGAATATCAATTATGAGAAGAAAAAGTAAACATTTCTGGGATAGACAGGATTCAATGGCTAGAAATAGAATAGATGAAAACTTGAGGCTTATCTTTGATGGGTTATATTTTACACATCGCTATATCATTAAAGGTATCCATTATTTCTGTATTTGGGTATAGTGAAGTTGATAGCTTTCTTGTTGCATTAGAGCTCTGTTATTGTATTTTTGTTAATTTTGACGTGCTATCAAGTCATCAATGTTTTTGTCGTGTGAACCTGGTGATGCTGAAGGTACTTATCACTTATCAGACATGATTTTCGTGATAATGCCTGCATCTTGGCTGATACCAATATTAAGCCAAAGTTAGAAACTGTTGTTGTGAAAGTGAAAGTAAAGATGGAACGTTCCTGAATTACAGCTTTTGTTGTAGATTGTTACAATCTGCAAACAAAAGATCATGGTTACTGTTTCCTTTTATTGGTACTTACTGAGCAATTTCCATTTCGGCGTGTTGCTGTTTGTTTTCCATGTAAAGGCTGAGAGAACCCTTGTGCAAAACTCGTTTCTTGCTGTACATATGCTGTTACCATATAATTCCATACACAATCCTGTTGAAAAGAAAGTGACAGTTACTTCCAAGAATCTCTTGTGAAAAATGTTTTTAGAAAAGATGGTCTTTTGGTGATGTGATTTGCTGTTTTGTTGGTAGTGCTTAAATGGTGTGTCCCGGTTTATGACAACGACTATAACTGTTGTTGTCTTTATGTGGAGGACTTGTCTACAGGATTCTACCTTTGAGGTTTTTTTTTTATCAACTTAGGAGTAAATGCTACTGGAGTTTCAGGGGGTAAGAGGTTACTTGTGGATGCCAACAGAGCGAGAACTGTTCAATCTCCTTATAGTACTGTACAATGGGCAGTGTTCTGTGGTTTCAGATGGCTAATAGTTACAAGTACTAAAAAGTTTCCAATTTTACAGAAAACAAAATGGTTTGTAGAAACTCGACGGCTCTGATTGAACCATCATCTAGTAAGTTCTTTGGCATCTTATGTATTTAGAAAATACCCTCAAAAGAGTTTCCTTTTATGGCTAAACAATTATATCTTGCAGTGAAAAGCTTTAGCCTTGGAAGCCTTAATTGAACAAGACCGCTTGTTGCTTTTTACTCATAAACAAAATTGCTTTACTTCCCCATTAATCAACATGAATTCTTCTTTACTTCCCTATGAATCATACAGCCACGTTGTTGGAGTCACCCACAACGAATCCATGCTATTGGACTGATAAGCTACATAGTTCCTTTCGCAATCTTCTGTCAAAACATAAACATTTTTTTTTATAAGAGTTTCCTTGTTTCTTCCACTCTTTGCAATTCTGTGTTTTGCATGATTCAGTTTCATCTTGGGTTATGGTTTCAATTGCATTTATAACTCTGCAACAAAACACCAAGAGTCCTTCTTTTTGCTCCATATCCGCAACTCATGGGTATATTCTTCGTTTTGGAAATCTTCATTCTTCTTCTTTTTTCAATCCATCTCTGTATGTTTTTGTGTACCCGAGGTTAAACTTAACTGTACTCTGTATTTCCATAAGGCGCGTGGGGGCGTGGACACCGGTTTGATGCTCTTGTGGCGCTTGCACACCGTTAGTGACCCGTTATTCCCAGAATTTGCTTCTCTACTCACTGTTTTGAATTTAAACGACACTTACAATCTAGTACTGATAAGTTTCTGTCCTCTTAAGTTTGTACTTTAGTTAAAGCTACAATTGTTTCTTTAGGTTTGCATTTGTATTTCCATGTTAGAAGTATTTCCATGTTAGAATGGTCTAATCATTAGAACATGGATATGCAAACGAAAACACAAAGAAACAGTCGTGGCCTAAATCATGCTGCTCTCTCTAACTGTCTTTTTTTACGTAATAGCAAGACTATAAGTGTTTGACACTTTACAGATCATACAATGCATAGTATACGGTATACCTCTCTGTTTGTTGATCTCTTTGAATATTCTGAGGAGTAATTTCATTTTAAACTATGATGCTTTGTTGCTTTCTGTGGCTTTCTGTTTCTTTATTAGAATACGGTAAAAGAGTGCAAATAGATAAGAGTTGTTGATTCAACTGAGAAGTCTTGTGGTACCTTTCTCTGAATGTTTTATATGCAAGTTATAACATCAACTATGAAAAGAAAAACGAAATCTTTTGGGACGGATAGGATCCAATGACTAGAAAAAGAACAGATGATTAATCTGTGGCTTATCTTTGGTGGGGTATATATATATTATACACATCGCTATATCATTAAAGGCATCCATTAGTTTCTGTATTTGGGTATAGTGTGAAGTTGATGGCTTGCTTGTTGCATTAGCTCTCCTTGATGGTACATTTGTATTTTTGTTGATTTTGGTTTGTTGCATTGACGTGGAATTAAGTCAGTCATTGTTTTTTTCTTTTCGTGTGAACTTGGTGATCTTGAAGGTACTTATCTCGTGATAATGCCTGCACCTTGGCTGATCCTGATAGTAAGCCAAAATTATAAACTGTTGCTGAGAAATTGAAAGTAAAGAGGACACCTTCCTCAACTACTACTGCTTTTGTTGTAGGTTACTTTTATTCTGCAAACAAAAGATCATGTCTTCTCTTCTTGTCCGATCAACGGTTTCCATTTCGGCGTGTTGCTGTTTGTTTTACCATGTAAAAGTCTGAGAGAACCCTTATGGAAAAACACGTTTGTTACTCGTATTCTCTGTCATCATATAGTTCCATACACAATCATACTAGAAAAGAAAGTAGAAAGTGTTCCTTTCAAGAATCTCTTGTGAAAATGGCTTTTTGGAAAAACATGTTGGAATTGATCTTTGGTGATGCGATTTGTTGTTTTGTTTGTTATGCCTTAAATGGTATCTCCAAGGTTCGTGACAGCGATTAAATTTGTTGTTGCCTTTTTATTGGAGGACTTGTCTACAGGATTCTACCTTGGATTTATGATATTTTCTAGTTGAGCTTCAGGAGAGTAAGAGGTTACTTGTGGATGCCGACAACTGTTCAAACCCTTTACAGTATTTTAAAATGTAAACTGCTCTGTGTTCAGTTGGCTCACAATTACAGGTACTAAAAGTTTCCCAACTCTACAATTTTTTTTAGAAACTCGATCGCTATGATTGAAATATCATCTAGGTATCTCTTTGGCATCTTTTGTATTGAGCAAATACTCTCAAAATAGACAGCTTTGGCAAAAGAAAATAGGGTTAAGTAACCTTTATTGTTAAACGATAGAATCCTCGGCAATTACAACTTTTAGCCTTGGAAGCCTTAATCGAACAAGACTGAACCCGGTTTAGTTTTTCTTGTTGCTTTACTCGTAAACAACATTGGTGATAGTTGGTGACTTGTGATTTCTTCTTTACTTCCCCATGGATCATACAGCCACAATATTGGAGTCACCCGCAACGATTCCGTGCCATTGAGCTGATGGGTTATATCATATGTAGCACTCTTCTGTGTCAAAACATAAACTTTTTTATGTAAAGTTTCCTTCTTTTCGTCCACTCCTTACCAAAAAGCTGATGCGTCCGGTTATGGTTTCATTGGCATTCCTAAATCACTCTGCAACATGGCATTCCTAAAATCGCTCTGCAACATATGTACAACTCATAGGTTTGTTGATCCTTTAGCAATCTAAATATCTTGATTCTTTGGTCACCCATTTCTGCAAATGCTGTGTTAAACTTTAACTGTTCACTGTTTTTGTCTGCTTATGGTTAAAGTCTCTTACCTCGTTGGCTTACTACTTTGTCTTGAGGCTTCTTACGCGTCGTCAAGATAGATTATATTGGTTATGGGACTTGTGGCCATCCCATTCTTTGTGCTTGACCTAGACTGCGTCTTTGAGGATTTTGTGTTTGGTATTATTCAAAGGCACTTAATGCTTTTGCTTGCTGAATCATTTCCCATGTTCTGTTATTTGTGTTTGTCTTCCGATTTGCACTATGATCATTGCCTCTGTACATTTCACATTGTTGTCTATTGTCGGTTTAACTTCTTCTTCTTCTTTCTTTCAATTTATATCATAAAGCAAAAAAATACATGTGCAGAAATATCTTGGATATGTTTGTCGTTTTGTTAGAGAGATGCTTGTTACTAGTAGATCAAAAACAGTTAAGATTTAGTGTTAGTTTAGGAAATTCTCTGTTTTGTGTGAATAAATACTCCAATAAATGTAAATGGAAAGTATAAGATCCCAAGTGTTCACATGCTATCAAGGAAACGATTTTCTTAGGGCAGATAAATTTTACCAGTTCAGAAAGAAAAAAAAACTATTGAAAATGGTAGACGACTCGGATTTTTTTCAAGCCTTTATAAAAGGAGATTTGAACTTTAAAACCCTATCAATCAAAAGATTTGATCTTTGATAACTTAGAGGCAAGATGCCAACATAGCATTACAGCTCACACACATGCTTGGAACAGCTAAAGATTAATGGGTTTCCTCGATTCTTTTACTTTTAGATCACTGAACATTCTTTAGTTTATCTATTTTAATTTGTTTTATTATATTTTATTGCAATGATCTAAGCTCGAATCTTAAGGGGAGCAAATCTCAACAGAATGATTGTTTTTGTATCTGATTTTATTATATTTTATTCAAGTATTGTTAAAATAAGATAAAGTTGTCCCCTTCCAAGACCACCTGATCTGCAATTTTTACCTGTAATGTTCCTATAACAAGGTCTGAATCTGATACATGTTTCAAACTATATCAAGGCTTGTTCCAATTTTGTTTTTACCTTTACTTGTTCTTTATAGACATTAAATATCATTTCCAAAAACAAATACAATTCACTAAATAAGTCCACCTTTTTTCTCTTAATTAACCATTTCTTAGTGATTTGGGACTATATACATTAATTTGATGATGTACATATCTTCGTATAGACTGCATTGATTTATGATCTCAAACTAAGTTAACAATTAGCTGTCAGAAAAATAAAATTAAAACAACAATCATTATCCCAGAGAAAAGAAAATCAACCATATTTTTGTTGTATTGTATCCGCACACGAGGTTATTTAGGTAAATGTATTTAGGTGGAGCTCGAAGATTCTTGTTTGAATAGAGGTGAGATCGATATGATGTTTTCGAGGTGATATCACGAGGTCAAGTAAACGAGGTAAGAGTTGAAGATTTTAAATATCGAGTGTTTTAGTCTTTTTTTTCAGATTACGGATCCCGTAATAAATGAAGTTACAGGACTATTTATAGTGTTCAAATTAGGTTACATCTCGGTCAGAGTAGCTTGGGCGGCCGGGTAGGTAGACCTGACCGACCGTCTATCGGAGTGTCTCGCTGGCGAGCTGTTTCATCAACGTCGACGTGGCGAGCTGCTCCTTTGTTATGGGAAGCTCATCTATTCGAACGACCTCGTTTTGGCTTTATGAACGGGCTTGTTATTCTTTGAGCTTGTTGGGCCTCTCCGATTTGCTAACGGGCCTGGTTAAAATTACAAAAAGAGGGTTGTGCTCAGCCCACCTACAACAATTGTCCCCCCCAGTCCGTTGATGGAGATATTACTTCGATATTCAACGCATCGAGCTGGAGAATCTTTCATTTTTTTTTTGGACCTCGATATCGATGCGGAGTCTTCGGAGTCGAGGTGATACTTAGGAAGCTATGAGTCGCTAAAAGCAATGGTCGTCTTGGGCAGCGAAGAGTCGCAAAAAGCAACGGTTGTCTTGGGTGGCGAAGAGTCGCGAGTGGGAGCGTGATTTTCGGGAAGCGCGTGGGATCCGCTACTAAACAGAGTACTGGGAAGCGTCCGGATCATGATTACTTTTCTCGGTAACCGCTGTTTTTTCTTCCTTATATATTCTGCTCTCCTCCTCTTCTTCTCATTTTCTTCTCCGTTTACAAAAGGTAATCTTGCTCTCCCTTCTCTCTAGAATTCCTTTCTCTCTCTAGAACTCGTCCTTTTGTTATTTTTGTTTTTATTGTTATCCGACATCGAGTAATGTCTTTAGGGGGTCAGCGTATCGGGTCGAGCTTAGAGTCTGGCTCTAGATCCGAACAGGAAGCTTCTGGGAGTGCTAGCTCTTCCCCTGAGGTGTCTTCGAGGTCCGACACTCGATCGGATCGAGGAGAATCTCCATTGATTGAATTGGCGGATCGAGTCCGTTCTGATGGGGCGTCTCCGCGAGGTGAAATGGATCTTCAGATAGTTCTTTTCGAGGAAGATCGATGTGATGGGGAGGCTACAGAGCGTGTCGAGGACGAGATCGACGAAGGGGGTGAGGAAGAAGATGAGCAGGGCGAGGAAGAAGAACAAGATGAGGAAGCTAGACCTCGTCGCAAAGGTTCCAAGCGCAAAGGAGCCATCAAGAATCGATTAGTCAACATTCCGTCTCAGATGACGGCTCAACGCCTCGAGGAGTTTCAGTTACGATACGGTTTTCGAGGCGAGCTGATGGCGCCAGGGCCTGAAGATCGGCCGTGGCATGCTCCGGAGGGCTGGGTCACGCTTTACGAGGCGTGGTTCAGTCTCTGTCATCTTTGGGTGCCTATGCCGAGGTTGCTGACGGACTATGTAGACCGTCGAGGTATTGCGTTCTCGCAAATCCTTCCAGCGGGGATTAGGTTCATGGTTGCAGCTCTTTTGTTTGGTAGCGAGGTCGGTGTCAACGTTGATTGGCATTTTTTCGAAGAAATGACCACCGTCCAAAAGAACAACTCGATCCCGGGGACGTATACAATAAAGGCGAGGAAGGACTGTTCTTTGGTCTACCCTGTCAACAGGACGCCGAGCTGGGAGGCGTCCTTCTTTTTTGCGAAGGTGGATGAGAAGTTGGTCGTCGACACCTCCAGGAATTTTAGGAACGAATGGAGCGACAGCATCGGTAGATCGCTAGTTTGGTCGTATCTCGAGTCCTTCCTTGTCTTTTATTAATGTTTTTTCGTCTTTCGCAGATCGAAACGTTCAGCTCGAAGCGTTCCCGGAGAACTTCCACGCAAATCTTCAGAAGATCAGGGCTGTTGGGATACAACATTGGCCTGATATACATCGTCGAAGGGTCGAGGCTGCCATCACTCGCATCACGAACGGTAAGCTCGATATTTTTTATGTTTCTTCCGTAATTGACATCGCCTAACACATTTTTTGTTTCAGCTAGTTGGAGGAGGGAGAATAACCTGCGGGAAAGAACGATTGCAATGGCTCCAATTCAAGTTAACGCCCCCAGCCTCGCTGCGCGCCTGAAGGTCAAGAAGAGCGGGAGTAAGGATCGGGGTCCTTTTGCATCTCGGCCTGCATGCACGGATCCGGTGCCGACCCAAGAAGAGGTCGAGGTTGCTCCTCAACGCGATGTGAACCTCGAGTCAGTCGATGAAGGTGGGGTCGAGGCTCAGAGTGCTGAAGACCAAGTGTCTAGTCGGCAAGTAGACGATGAAACCGACGAAGTCGCGCAGCTGGCGAGGCGCAAGGAGAAGAAGCAAAAGAAGAGGAAGCCTGAAGAGAAGAAACGGAGGGAGGAGGCCGAGGCTGCTCGCCTCGCCGAGAAGAAGGAGGTCGCCGGGGCTAAGGCGACGATGGCAGTCAAGTTGGAGCGGAGGCTGCGAGCAAACGGCCTAGGGTTGATCCACCTGGTAATGACAAGGCCAAAGAGATTGACTGGAGCTTTTCGTTCGAGTACCCCGAGTCGAACGAACCGTTTGTCAACAATGTTGATAAATGCGCAGAGCTGTTCGGGATGATAAGGGGCTCCACCTCCGAGGTCCCCCTGGTACCGATGGGGCTTTCAAAGACATGGCGAGCTTCGGCTTCAAGGTATGTCTGGAATCTTCACTTTACGCTTTAATTGGTGGTCTAATCTGTGAGCTCGACCGATATATTTTTTCTGTTTTTGTTTTCAGTTCATCGCGAGCTGCAACCGCGCTCGAGGTCAATACATGCGCTGGCTCCGGAATGGCGCCGCTCGGTTAAAGGATGCCCAGATTACCGGCGAAAAGGCAGTGAAAGAGCGTGACGCCGTCATCGAGCAGCGAAAGGTCGCCGAGGACAATTGGCAGACCATGAAAAGGAAGGCGGAGCAGCTCGAAGCAGGGGTGAAAGAGCTAACCGACAAGATCGAGACGATGAAGCAAGAGAACCTGGATTTAGTCAACAACCTACAGATCGTCAACGAGGCCAAGATCCAGGTCGAGAAGTCGATCGCCACTGAGGTCGTCCGGGCACAGCGACAAGCTAAAGAGAGGATCGAGACGGAGACGACACGGATTTGGGCGGATGCTGAGGCAAAGTATTCAGGTCGTATCGATCGGCTGAGGATTCGGGTTGCTCAACAAGAGACGATCGAGAAGGTTAAGCTCGATCTGGTTCAGGCTCGAGGTACATTGGAGTGCCTTGATCTCTTGAAGGAGATGTCTGAAGCGGAGTTGAGAGCTGAGCTGGAATCGTCAAAGCGCGACTGCGAACAGAAGCTCGAGAACCTCAGCTTCATGGATCTTGAGGAAGACGACTTGCCTCCGCCTTACCCTGAGACTCCAGATGGTGGTTCGGATCGAGATGATGCCGAAGACGAAGAGAACCGCGAGGGCGGCAATGAGTCTGAAGAATCGACCTTACTTGCCTTTTCTTATTTGTTATTGCCTCTTTTCTTTTGACTTTTTTTTTATTTTGCCTCGTTTGTAAGGACCCGACCTATTTTTATTAATAAATGCTCTTTTCTCGAAGTACCAGCTCGCGATTTGAATTATAAAGAGAGAATAAATACGAGGTATACTTAAGCAAAACAAAACAAAATAAATACGAAGTATTAGCTCGCAATTTAAACGACAATAGATTCGAGATGAAATGCTTGATACGAGGTGAATAAGTGATGCGAGGTAAATAGAGCGATAGGTGCGAGATGAAACTCGGCTTTAGGGAACAATAGGTGCGAGGTATGACTCGGCTTACCCTGTTTTATTTCATTAATCGTGTCCGAATAGTGAGAATGATCTCGACGTAATTATTCAGGTGATTTAAGAAAGGGTGCGGGACTGGTCCCGGCTTATTCTCTTACAGTCGTAAGGTTTTTGTTCCTTAGGATTTGCTAAGAGGTTGCATTGTAGGGAAATGCGTATTAGAAGATCGAACATCTAGCTAGGATGTCGATGTAAAGATGTCGATGTAAAAGTTGGTATAGACAAAAATTTTATTAATAGCTGTATCTCGTGAGAGGTTGCCTACGTACCCAACAAACTGGGATCAAGCCGATCGTAGTTCACATTCGAGATTAAGCGTCCCTTTTTTTTTTTTTTTTTTAGAAGTAATACCGCTTAATGTTCATCGAGTTCCACGATCGCGGTATCATTTCGCCATCCATCGTCATCAGCTCGTAAACGCCAGGTTTTACAACGTTGGTGATTTGGTAGGGGCCTTCCCACTTTGCGGCCAGTTTTCCGGCGCGGTATTCTTCGGTATTTTCGAACACCTTGCGAAGGACGAGGTCGCCAACTTCGAAGTGCCTACCTTTCATGCGTTTGTTGTAGTATCGTGAGATTTGCTGCTGATAATTTTGCATACGTAACAGAGCGTGATCTCGTTCCTCTTCGAGCATGTCGAGGCTATCCTTCATCATTCTTCCGTTCCTTTTATCGTCTTGTGTCAACATCGTTCTGCGTATGGTTGGTAGACCAACCTCGGCGGGAGCTAAAGCTTCCATGCCGTGAGATAACGAGAAAGGGGTTTTATTCGTCGATCTGCGCGGTGTAGTTCGATGTGACCATCGGACTCCGTCTAACTCGTCTGTCCATAAGCCCTTCTTATCCTTGAGTCTCTTTTTGATGCCGTCGAGGATAGTCTTGTTGGTTGCCTCGGCTTGTCCGTTTCCTTGTGGGTATCGCGGTGTTGACTTGCTACGTCGTATTCTCCATTTGGCGCAGAAGTCCTCGAAGACATCAGAGATAAATTGGGGGCCATTATCGGTGACGATCTCGTAAGGTAATCCGTGGCGGCAGATGATGTTCTTCCAAACGAAGTTCTTCACATCAGTTGCCTTAATTTTGGCGTAAGATTCGGCCTCGACCCATTTCGTGAAGTAATCGGTGATGATAAGTATGAATTGTTTCTGTCGAGATCGAGGAACTGGGCCTACGATATCCATCGCCCATCGCATGAAGGGATAAGGTGGTGAGGAAGCGGCTAGGAGCTCGGCTGGCGCGTTGATCATCGGCGCGTGTCGTTCACATTGTTCGCAGCGAGCTACAAATCGATCACAATCGGTTAGCATTGTCGGCCAAAAATGGCCGTGGTTCTTGATTTTTAGAGCGAGAGCTCGACCGTTGGAGTGATTTCCACACGCTCCTTCGTGTGTTTCTCGCATGACATCGAGTGTCTCCTCACCATGCAAACAGTTGAGTAGGGCGCCAGTCGAGCTCCAACGATAGAGGTCGCCGTGTGACTGAACGTATTTGGCGCTTCGAACTTTTAAACGCCTCGCTGCCCATCGGTCAGGTGAGACTTGGCATCTGTAATGTAGAGTAAGCTTTCGATCCTCCAGTCTTCGGTTGCTGGCTCTTGCTCAGCAGGCTCATCGACGACCTCGGGTGGAGGCAATTCTATGGCGGCTAATCTGTTTGCTTCGATCTCGCGAACTACACATATTCCTCGAGGGAATACGATGCGGGGGAAATCGATGCTTTCGACCAGGATCCCGCGCCTTTGATGCGATTCGGATGTTGAAGCGAGAGCGGCCAGTGCGTCTGCCGAAGTGTTGTCACTTCTCGGAATTCTGATGAGTGCGAAATATTCGAAGCGATCTGTGATACTCTTGACGGCTTTAAGATATAAATCCATCCGGTCGTTCCTAGTGTCGTAGTCGCCGCTGTACTGGCTAGCAACGAGCTGGGAGTCACAGAAAGCTTCGATTTTCTTGACCCCGATACCTTGGGCTAGACGAAGTCCTGCGAGTAAAGCTTCGTATTCTGCTTCATTATTCGAGGCTGGAAATTCGAGCCGGAACGATTACTCCAATATCTCTTTCGTCGGGGACTCTAGTCGGATGCCAATACCTGCGCCTCGAGACGAAGAGGATCCGTCGACGTATAAGCACCACTTCTCATCAGGTAGGTCGGTCTGGATTAGCTCTGGCGAAAGTTCTACTAGAAAATCCGCGAGGACCTGCGATTTGGCACTTGTTTTATTGCGATACTCAATATCATACTCCGTCAGCTTGACAGCCCACTTTGCCATACGACCTGACTGGCTCGGGCTGTGCAGTATCGTTCGACCTGACCGCGAGCGCGAGTTTCTCCAAAGTCGGATACCGTTTTTCTGCGTCGTCGAGAGTTTTACTAACGTAGAAAATCGGTTTCTGCTCGCCTCGATCTTCTTTGACTAAGACTCCGCTAACCGCCGAGCTCGACACAGCGATGTATAGGTAGAGGGTTTCGCCTGATTCGGGTTTTGCTAAAATCGGTGGGCTGGCGAGGTATTCCTTAAGTTGTTGGAAAGCTTTTTCACACTTGCTATCCCATTCGAAACGCTTGTTGCCTCGGAGGAGCTGATAGAATGGGAGACACTTATCTGTCGAGCGAGAGATGAATCGGTTAAGCGCTGCGATCCGGCCGGTGAGACGTTGAACCTCGCGAGTGTTGCGAGGTGAAGGGAGACTGATTAGTGCATCGATCTGCTTCGGGTTCGCCTCAATTCCTCGTTTAGTGACGATGTAGCCGAGGAATTCCCCGGAAGTGAGCTTCATCTAGTATTGATTTAGAACGGTGAATCAAGCTTGCAGATGGCTGATGTGATCACCGGCGGTGAATGACTTTACTAGCATATCGTCGATGTAAACCTCCATCGTTCGTCCCAACTGATCGGCGATCATGTGGTTGACTAGTCGTTGGTACGTTGCGCCCGCGTTCTTTAAGCCGAACGGCATTACCTTATAACAATAAGTCCCTCGATCGGTGATGAAGGACGTCTTCTCACAATCCTCGGGATGCATCGTGATTTGATTATACCCGGAGAAGGCGTCTATGAACAACTGGAGCTCGTTCCCTGCAGTTGCCTCGACGATTCGATCGATATGCGGTAGAGGGAAACTATCCTTGGGGCAGGCTTTATTGAGATCGGTGAAATCTACGCAGATTCGCCATTTGCCATTCTTCTTTTTGACGACAACAGAGTTTGCCAGCCATTCTGGATATTTGACCTCGATGATCGAGCTGGCCTTCGATAAACGTTCGACTTCATCATTGACGGCCTGCGCCTTTTCGAAACCTAACTTTCTCCGCTTTTGCTTGATCGGTTTAAACGTAGGATCGATGTTGAGCTCGTGATTTGTTATTGAGGGATCGATCCCAGGCATGTCGCTTACTGACCAGGTGAATGTCGATGCGTTTCGGCGAAGAAGTCGTACGAGCTCGACCTTGATCTCGTCCTCTAGATCAGCTCCGATTCCTACGCATCGTTCGGGGTCGCTTTCGTCGATGTTTACTTGGACGACGAGCTCCTGCTTGGGTCTTTCTTGGGTTGGCAAATCGGCTTGAGTTACGGGTAAGATCGTAAGACATGCCTTGGCTGGGACCGTGGATTTGAATCGAAGCTTGTGCTCAGCGGAGAAGCAGAGTCTCGATATCTCTTGAGAGCCTCGAATGGTTTTTACCCGGAACGCGGTTGGGAACTTGAGGCATTGATGATAGGTCGATGGCACCGCCTTCATGGATTGTAGCCAGGGCGTTCCCAAAATTACGTTATAGATGGCGGGTTTATCGACGACGACAAATTTGACGAGGCGGGTCGTCTTTGCCGCGTAAACTGGGAGCCTGATCGTCCCGATCGAGTAGACCGTATCTCCGTCGAATCCTGTAAGTGGCTTAACCGAGGACTTGAGGTGATGGTTCGCCAGTTCTATTTTGTCAAGCGTTTCTTTGAAAATCAGGTCGACCGAGCTCCCTGTATCAACCAGTATCCCAGACACTTCGCAATCTGCGATCCGCAGCTCGACCACAAGCAGATCGTTGTGTGGCATGTCGACTCCTTCCGTGTCGGCCTCGGTGAATGTGATCGCATCACTATCGGCGGTCTTGGGACTTTTGACTTGCCATTTTTGTGCGAGCATCACCTGGCGGCCGTACTTTTTTATTGACCTGACGGAATCATTGCACGTCGATAGGCCTCCCATGATAAAGAACACCTTCTTTCGAGATGCCGGAGGGGTGTCACCTCGAGGTTGGTTACCTCTATCTCTCTTTGCGAGATCGTCGTTGAATCGCTCATTCGTTGGGGGAGGATGCAGAAGTTGCTCGGTGGGAGCCGTTGGTCGAGCTTTGTTGTTTCGTGGCGCGGCGTTTTGGGGCTGGTTTGGTAATGCGATCTCCCCTTTCGATATTTGGCGAGCAAATAGGCCTGCAGTTCCCGACACATCGCAGTTGGGTGACCGTATTTGTTGTGATAGTCGCAGAAAGGTCGTGCCTCCCCGCGATCTCCTCGTTGCCAGGTGTTCGATTGGTTTTGATATTGGCGATTTTGTTGTTGTGGAGTGCTGATGTTATACGTTGCCCTTCGGCGATTTTCACCTCGATAGTTATTGTCGAGGTGTTGTCGAGGTTCATGATAATCTTGTTTGGGGATTTCTTTGTGGGGTTGCTGCTTCGGCGCAGCTTTTGCTGGTGACACG